CCCCAGCACGACCACACCCCAGCAAGACCAATCCCCAGCACGACCACACCGCCTTGGTGAGTGGTTGCCTGTCGTCGTGGAATGTTTCGTGGGGTGTCTCGTGGAATGTTTCGCGGGGTGTCTCGTGAAATGTTTCGTGAGGTGTCTCGTGGAATGTTTCGTGAGGTGTCTCGTGGGCTGTTTCGTGAGGTGTCTCGTGGGATGTTTCGTGAGGTGTTGCCCAGTTGGGTATCATGAAAACGTGTCCATGCTCCACATGTCTATATCCCTTTCCGGGTTCGTGGGTCCATCATGTTCCGGAAAGGGCGTGGGCCCAGGGTTCTCTTTTAGTAGGTAAACCTGTCCCCCGGTGCCAACTTGAGGGAGGCCGGCGAATTTTTTCCCTGATAAATAACGAGGTCGAAGGAGGCCGGCGAATTAAAATTTGAGGATGTCTCGAGCGACACGCTTGTTTTTGAAATCCCGATCGATAAATCACAGGGTGCGGGCCACTTTTTCGTGTGTTGAGGATGTCTCGAGCGAAACGCTTGCTCCGCAGAGTTTGCCGAGGATGTCTCGAGCGAAACGATTGTTTTGCAGAGCCGACCGCGACGCGGAAAAGCGCCCCGCGCGAAGGAATTTCGATGATGTTTCGACTAATTTGTTTGTTTTTGTACGATTTCCTGGAATTTTGCAGGATGTCTCGAGCGAAATGCACGACCCCACCCTAGCACGACCATACCCCAGCACGACCACACCCCAGCACGACCAGACCCCAGCACGACCCCACCCAGCACGACCCCACCCCAGCACGACCATACCCCAGCACGACCACACCCCAGCACGACCCGACCCCAGCACGACCCTACCCCAGCAAGACCACACCCCAGCACGACCACACCCCAGCACGACCACACCCCAGCACGACCCCACCCCAGCACGACCACGCTCCAGCACGACCACGCCCCAGCACGACCACGCCCCAGCACGACCACCACCAGAACGACCACCCCCCCAGCCGACCACCCCCCAGCACGACCACCCCCCAGCACGACACACCCCAGCCCGCCACCCCCCCAGCACGACACCCCCCAGCACGACCACACCCAGCACGACCACACCCCAGCACGACCACGCCACAGCACGACCACACCCCAGCACGACCACACCCCAGCACGACCACACCCCAGCACGACCACACCCCAACACGACCACACCCCACCACGATCACACCCCACCACGACCACAGCCCAGCACGACCCGATCGATGAATCACAGGGTGCGGACCACCCCAGCACGACCACACCCCAGCACGACCCCACCCCAGCACGACCCCACCCCAGCCACGACCACGCCCCAGCATTGACACACCCCAGCAACGACCAACCCCAGCACGACCACTCCCCAGCACGACCCACCCCAGCACGACCCCACCCCAGCACGACCCCACCCTAGCACGACCACACCCCAGCACGACCACACCCCAGCACGACCACACCCCAGCACGACCCCACCCCAGCAAGACCACACCCCAGCACGACCGCACCCCAGCACGACCTTACCACAGCACGACCACACCCCAGCACGACCACGCCCCAGCACGACCACGCCCCAGCACGACCACGCCCCAGCACGACCACGCCCCAGCACGACCACGCCCCAGCACGACCACGCCCCAGCACGACCACGCCCCAGCACGAACACCCCCCCAGCACGACCACCCCCCAGCACGACCACCCCCCAGCACGACCACACCCCAGCACGACCACTCCCCAGCACGACCACACCGCCTTGGTTGAGTGGTTGCCTGTCGTCGTGGAATGTTTTCGTGGGGTGTCTCGTGGAATGTTTCGCGTGGGGTCTCGATGAAATGTTTGGTGATGTGTCCTAGGGAATGTTTCGTGAGGTGTCTCGTGGGCTTAGTCGTGAGGTGTCTCGCTGGATGTTTCGTGAGGTGTTGCCCAGTTGGTATCATGAAAACGTTGTCATGTCCACAGGTCTTATCCCCTTTTCCCGGAAAGGGCGGGGGCCCAGGGTTCTCTTTTAGTTGGTAAACCTAATCCCCCGGTGCCAACTTGAAGGAGGCCGGCGGATTTTTTCCCTGATAAATATCGAGGTCGAAGGAGGCCGGCGGATTAAAATTTGAGGATGTCTCGAGCGAAACGCTTGTTTTTGAAATCCCGATCGATAATCACAGGGTGCGGGCCACTTTTTCGTGTGTTGAGGATGTCTCGAGCGAAACGCTTGCTCCGCAGAGTTTGCCGAGGATGTCTCGAGCGAAACGCTTGTTTTGCAGAGCCGACCGCGACGCGGAAAAGCGCCCCGCGCGAAGGAATTTCGATGATGTCTCGACTAATTCCTTTGTTTTTGTACGATTTCCTGGAATTTTGGCAGGATGTCTCGAGCGAAATGCACGACCCCACCCTAGCACGACCATACCCCAGCACGACCACACCCCAGCACGACCAGACCCCAGCACGACCCCACCCCAGCACGACCCACCCCAGCACGACCATACCCCAGCACGACCATACCCCAGCACGACACACCCGCAGACCCGACCAGCACGACCCTACCCCAGCAAGACCACACAGCAAGACACCCCAGCACGACCCACACCCCAGCACGACTCACCACCAGCACGACCACCCCGCACGACCACGCCCCAGCACGACCAAGCCCAGCACGACCACGCCCCAGCACGACCGCCCCAGAACGACCCAGCACGACACCCCCCCAGCACGACCACCCCCAGCACGACCACACACAGCACGACCACCACCCAGACGGACCACTCCCAGCACGACACCACCAGGCACGACCACACCCCAGCACGACCACACCCCAGCACGCCACACCCCCAGCACGACCAGTCCCCAGCAAGACCCGATCGATAAATCACAGGGTGCGGACCACCCCAGCACGACCACACCCCAGCACGACCCCACCCCAGCACGACCCCACCCCAGCACGACCACGCCCCAGCACGACCACGCCCCAGCACGACCACACCCCAGCACGACCACACCCCAGCACGACCCCACCCCAGCACGACCCCACCCTAGCACGACCACACCCCAGCACGACCACACCCCAGCACGACCCCACCCCAGCACGATCACACCCCAGCACGACCCCACCCCAGCACGACCACACCCCAGCACGACCGCACCCCAGCACGACCTTACCACAGCACGACCACACCCCAGCACGACCACGCCCCAGCACGACCACGCCCCAGCACGACCACGCCCCAGCACGACCACGCCCCAGCACGACCACGCCCCAGCACGACCACGCCCCAGCACGAACACCCCCCCAGCACGACCACCCCCCAGCACGACCACCCCCCAGCACGACCACACCCCAGCACGACCACTCCCCAGCACGACCACACCGCCTTGGTTGAGTGGTTGCCTGTCGTCGTGGAATTTTTCGTGGGGTGTCTCGTGGAATGTTTCGCGGGGTGTCTCGTGGAATGTTTCGTGAGGTGTCTCGTGGAATGTTTCGTGAGGTGTCTCGTGGGATGTTTCGTGAAGTGTCTCGTGGGATGTTTCGTGAGGTGTTGACCAGTTGGGTATCGTGAAAACGTGTCCATGCTCCACATGTCTATATCCCTTTCCGGGTTCGTGGGTCCATCATGTTCCCGGAAAGGGCGCGGGCCCAGGGTTCTCTTTTAGTATGTAAACATAGTCCCCCGTGCCCAACTTGAAGGAGGCCGGCGGATTCTTTCCCTGATGAATATCGAGGTCGAAGGAGGCCGGCGGATTAAAATTTGAGGATGTCTCAGGCGAAACGCTTGTTTTTGAAATCCCGATCGATAAATCACAGGGTGCGGGACACCTCAGCACGACCACACCCCCAGCATGACCACACCCCAGCCCGACCACGCCCAGCACGACCACGCCCCAGCACGACCACACCCCAGCACGACCACACCCCAGCACGACCACACCCCAGCACGACCACACCCCAGCACGACCACACCCCAGCACCAGCACGACCACACCCCAGCACGACCCGATCGATAAATCACAGGGTGCGGACCACCCCAGCACGACCACACCCCAGCACGACCACGCCCCAGCACGACCCCACCCCAGCACGACCACACCCCAGCACGACCACACCCCAGCACGACCACACCCCAGCACGACCACACCCCAGCACCAGCACGACCACACCCCAGCACGACCCGATCGATAAATCACAGGGTGCTGACCACCCCAGCACGACCACACCCCAGCACGACCCCACCCCAGCACGACCCCACCCCAGCACGACCACGCCCCAGCACGACCACATCCCAGCACGACCACACCCCAGCACGACCACACCCCAGCACGACCCCACCCAGCACGACCCCACCCCAGCACGACCACACCCCAGCACGACCACGCCCAGCACGACCACACCGCAGCCCGACCACACCCCAGCACGACCACTCCCAGCACGACCACACCCCAGCACGACCACACCCCAGCACGACCACACCCCAGCACGACCCCACCCCAGCAAGACCACACCCCAGCACGACCACACCCAGCACGACCACGCCCAGCCGACCACACCCCAGCACGACCACCCCACACGGACCACGCACCACACGCCCCAGCACGACCACCCCCAGCACGACCACCCCCAGCACGACCACCCCCCAGCAGACCACCCCCCAGCACGACCACCCCCCAGCACGACCACACCCCAGCACGACCACACGCCCCAGCACGACCACACCCAGTCGCACCCCCGTGGAATGTTTCGTGGGGTGTCTGGTTGAGTGGTTGCCTGTTCGTGGGGTGTCTCGTGGAGTGTTTCACGGGGTGTCTCGTGGAATGTTTCGTGAGGTGTCTCGTGGAATGTTTCGTGAGGTGTCTCGTGGGATGTTTCGCGGAGTGTCTCGTGGGATGTTTCGTGAGGTGTCGCCCAATTGGGTATCGTGAAAACGTGACCATGCTTCACATGTCTATATCCCTTTCCGGGTTCGTGGGTCCATCATGTTTTTGTCACCAGAGTCCGGCCTTGATGGCTAGCCTCCTCCTGCTGCTGCTTCATCTTCTGCGTTAGCACGGCGGCCCTCATCACAAGATTCTCGGCGACATCGTTGAGCGCCTCGGCGGGGCTCCTCGAGTTCCCAGCGTACTGCGCAGCAAGCTCTTGGAGTAGATCTGCCCACGAGTCACTCCAAGCGCCTCTTATGTTCTGGTCCAGCATGAGAGCGATGTCCCATTGAGCGAAAAATTGATTGGTCAGTGCAACGTTGGCATCTCCTTTCGCAACGTCCCTCAGTAGCTTTGCCACGTCGTGCTCGGCCGCATCAAGGTCAGGCAGCCCCGCGAGGACGCCCGCCAAACCCCGGACGATATACCTGGATCGCAGACAAGAGAAGTGGCCAGCAGCAGCAGAGGCGCTCTCGCCGCCGAAGATGGATTTCATCGCTCTCGATGCCGCCAGGATCGGCTTGGTCTCATCGTCGGGATCCTTGATGCTGACGCACAAAGAGCACAGTAGTGACCGCTCGTGCTTTACTGGTAACGCTTCTGTGAGTATGGGCATGATCACGTCCTTCAATAACGAAGTGCCCTTGCCGTGCGCCTCGACGTGTTCTTCGACCGCGTTCGTGACGCCGTGGGTGAAGCGTCTAAATGCTTTGTGGTGGCGCGCCAGCTTCTCGAGCGAATTCAACTTCAGCCATTCCTGGATGTCACCGGCGTGCTCCTGCGCCAGCCTCTTGATGATGTCCTCTGGAGTCTCCTCGCGCTGCACTGGGGTGTCGCCCCCCCCTTCTCTTTCTTGCTGGAACCAGGGATCGCGAGAAGCTGCTGTCCCAAGGCCTCGCCGTCGCCCAGGACGTCGTCCAGCGATTTGAAGTGGTCGACGATCTTCTCGGGCTGGGCCTGGATGATGAGATCGCGGAGCTTCTCCCGGAGGGTAGACCAGTTCTTGACCGCCTTGCTGGACTTGACTTTGCCCGCCGCGACTGATGGAACACGCGCAGATCCAGTGAAGCAGAACTCCAAGGTCGTGGGCAGGACGGCAGCCTGCTGGGATTACTTGAACATTGCTGGGGCCGGAAGATGGAACATCCGATCGTCTCCTGTGAAGATTTGCATTCCAATTTGCAGGGCTACCTGGAGGTGCAGCGCGGCTGACCCCCAGCGGACACATATATTGTAAACCGACGGGCCGAAGGATAAAAAATGCCCACGCGTGGCCCGCCAGGGCCAGGAGCATCCATAAGCAACTATCAACGACCGCGGACTCCTGGAGCACGAACCAAGACTCCTGACTCTGCCCGATCAACATCGGACGTCCTCGAAAGTGGGCCCCTAGAGGATCTGGACTTGAACCCGTTTGTTCTTCTGGAGGGCAGGGGCATGCCCCCCGCATCTTGTAGATGACCGCAGGGCGCGACACAGAGCAAGGGTCAAGATGGAGGGCGAAAGCGAATGTTTGAGCAGCCTGCCTCGATCGCATCCGCATTCTCGCCCTCGACGTCGCCGTCTCCGCCACCGTCTCTGTCTCCGTCAACTCCAGCGACAGCGCTGGCGGCCTGTTGCGCAGCAGAGTGCATCATCTCGAACGCATCGTCTAACCAAAGTACATCTCTCATTGTAGTCCCTCTGGCGTTCGTCAGCTCGACTTGAGATTTCAGCTGAGGCTCGCCATCATCGCGAACCTTCTCGTGAAGCGCGCTCTCTTTCATCGGCATGCAGATGCGATCCATGATCGCTGTGTTCGTCGGGGTGAACTTCTGAAAGAGCCAGGAGGCCGTTGAGTCTGACTCTTCGGCCGCTGGAATCATAAACCTGAGCAGGGTGATGGGGCCGTCCGCAGCAGATGGCGAAACATCGCCCCTCTCCTCAATTCCTCCGCCATCGATCCCATCTGCGCGTTCCTCTCTCTCTCTGTCGATACTTCCTTCTTTAGCTCTCTCTCTCTCTCTCTCTCTCTCTCTCTCTCTCTCTCTCTCTCTCTCTCTCTCTCTCTCTCTCTCTCTCTCTCTCTCTCTCTCCTCTTTCTCTCTTTCCTTTCTCTCTCTCTCTCTCTCTCTCTCTCTCTCTCTCTCTTCTTTCTCTCTCTCTCTCTCTCTCTCTCTCTCTCTCTCTCTCTCTCTCTCTCTCTCTCTCTCTCTCTCTCTCTCTCTCTCTCTCTCTCCCTCTCTCTCTGTCATCCTACCCATGCTTGCTCCCCGTCAATTCGTCTAAACCCCTGCACAAGTCCTCGTTCTCCTCTCCTACTCTTAGTGTCGTCCTCTCCCTGATCCGCCTTTTTCCTCGCCACCCTCTTCGATCTCGTCGCACCCTCCCCGTCCTATCTCATCATGTCGTCATGCTCCTGATGTTGCTACTGCTGTTGCTAGTTCTCCTCGCCCCCCTCCAATTCCTCCTATTCTTCCTTCTTCCCCTCCTCCTCCCCCTCCCCCGCGCACTACTCTCAAGCCCTTCGCGCGAATCAGCGCGAGGGGGCCGAACGCTTTTGCTCGACCCTTTGGCTGTCCAGTGATTTGGGGCCGACGGCAACAGCAATGCGGCTTAAAGATCATCCGACATCCTTGCCGGGCGTCTCGCGCGATTCCCCATGTGACAAGTGGCGCGCGGGTCGCCCGCGCATGACTGTGCTTAGCCGCTTTGCTTGCGACCCCCTCACTTTCACCCACGGGCGATTTTTATGCCCCATGATTGCGCGGACCTCCGAACGATCTGCGCATCTGGGGAAGCTGGGGGGGGGGGGCGCCGTTGGGAAGCCCCTGGACTTCGCGCCCTCGAGGAAGACCGTGGCAATGTCATCGTCGGCGATGGCGTTGCGAAACTTGGATACCTGCGTGGCCCAATAGTGAATCTGCCTGAGCGCTGCATTCTGGCCCATGCCGATGGCAAGATGGTCGCGAGTATCCCCGACCAAGGCCTCGAAGTCATCCAGGCACTTGGCCCTGTTGATGAAGTTGTACAGGCTCCGGGCGCACTCGAAGATATCAGCATCTTCATAGACACCCTTGTGGAACTTCTTGGTGTAGGCCTCCAGTTCTGGAGCGGTTGCATCGCTCCTGGATAAGGGTATGCCTTTCTTTCTCGCATGCACTTTCCACATAGCATCGGCGTCGGGTGCGTCGGTGACCTTCTGGAGAAACGCCACTCCCACTCCTTCGTGGAACTTGTTGTAGAAGTCCCGAAGCCAAGCAATGATGTCATCAGGTGTGTCCTCTCGATACTCTTCGACAGTAAGACCGTCCTGAATAGTCTCTTTGACAGTGTCCATCTCGCCAGCCTGCTCGTGCGCCAAGTAGATCGACCTCGTGAGGGCGCCGCAGGTGATCATCCTCCACGGCGGCTTGTTGCCCTCGGACATGACAGCAGTGGCCGCGCCGCGGACGCCCTGCACATTCCCAAATTGGATGACCCTGGCCGCATAGGTCTTCACTTGGACCTGGTTCCTCCGGGTGTTTCTCGCGTGCGGCATGATCATCTTGGTCCCATTCTGGTCGAAGAAGTGCGCCTTCACGTGGTTTTCAACAGAAGGGTGGCTCGATTGACTAGGCGAGCCAACAGGTGGCCCCGACAGCCCCAGCTGAGAGCATCACAGGAGTACCCTTGTTAGCAAGGCCCACAGAAACCCTAGGAAGGATAATCGCCACAAAGAGTTTTCAACGGCCTCCTGGCGAGCGCGGCCAGCCCCATGTTATCAACGCCCTTGAACTCCTTAGACTAGCATTGATCCTAGCATTTGACTAGCATCGATCCTAGCAATTGGGTTTGACAGGGAAGGCCCACTTGCACTTACTCGAAACGTTAAGCCATTCCGCTGACCCCCCACCTCCTAGACGAGGGCAAAGCGCAGGAAGGAACATCAGTGAATCCGCCGACCCCAGAGGCGCGCGAGGGAAAGTGACCAAACTCGGCCACGCCCCCACCCCAGGTAGCTGTGATCACGCCCTCTGCTCTTGGGAACCCCGACTCGACATTTCGTGGACCCGAACCATCAACGCCCCCCACCTGGACCCCTTCCTGGCCTGGCATTCCTTGCCGGGACCCCTCCACCACGGCTCCACCGCGACTGACACCGCCAGCCTCCCGAGGCCCCTGGGCATACGTTCTTCGGGCCCCCGCGCCCTCCAATATCCTCGCCGGGGCCCTTCCACCGCGGCTCCACCGCGTCTGACCCCGCCTGCCTCCTGAGGCTCCTGGGCGCACGTTCTTCGGGCCCCCGCGCCCTGCAAAATCCTTGCCGGGGCCGTCTGATACCGCCAGCCTCCCCCCGCTCCGGCACCCCCCCTCCTGCGCCCGGCATGCCCGCCCATCCCGAGAGAAAAGGCTGTTCTTGGGCCCCCCCACAATGCAAAAACCTCTCCGGGACCCCCCGCCGCGCTCGGCACCACGCCGCCCCAACGGGCCAAAATCGGGCTGGCACCCCGCCGCCCCAACAAGCCATTATCGTTGATCCCCATTGATTTTTTCAATGTTTTCGCTTTCGCGCTCTCCGACGCTCCACGACCGCCCAAGAGGCTCCCTGCACCGCCCCCCAAGCCTCTGGAGCTCTGTTTTTGGGTTCCCCGACTCTGCAAAAACCTCGCCGGGGCCCCCCGCCGCGCCCCGGCACCCCGCCGCCCCAACAAGCCAAAATCGTTGATTCCCATTGTTTTTTAAAATGTTTTTCGCTTTCCCGCTCTCCGACGCTCCACGACCGCCCAAGAGGCCCCCAAGACCGCCCCCCAAGCCTCTGGAGCTCTGTTTTTGGGTTCCCCGACTCTGCAAAAACCTCGCCGGGACCCCCCGCCGCGCCCCGGCGCCTCGCCGCCCCAACAAGCCCAAATCGTTGATCCCATTGTTTTTTTCAATGTTTTTCGCTTTCCCGCTCCTCCGACGCTCACGACCGCCCAAGAGGCCCCCAAGACCGCCCCCCAAGCCTCTGGAGCTCTGTTTTTGGGTTCCCCGACTCTGCAAAAACCTCGCCGGGGCCCTCCACCGCGCCCTGGCACCCCGCCGCCCCAACAGGCCAAAATCGTTGATCCCCATTGATTTTTTCAATGTTTTTCACTTTCCAGTTTTCCGACGCTCCACGACCGCCCACGAGGCCCCCAAGACCGCTCCCCAAGCTTCTGGAGCTCTGTTTTCGGGCCCCCCGACTCTGCAAAAGCCTCGCCGGGGCACCCCGCCGCGCCCCGGCGCCCCGCCGCCCCAACAATCCAAAATCATTGATTCCATTGGATTTTTCAATGTTTTTCGCTTTCCAGCTTTCCGACGCTCCACGACCGCCCAAAAGGCCCCCAAGCCCGCTCCCCTAGCCTCTGGAGCTCTGTTCTTGGGCCCCCCGGCCCTGCAAAAACATCGCCGGGACCTCCCACCGCGCCCCGGCACCCGGCCGTCCCAACAAGCCCAAATCGTTGATTCCCATTAATTTTTTGAATGTTTTTCGCTTTCCAGCTTTCCGACGCTCCACGACCGCCCAAGAGGCCCCCAAGACCGCCCCCCAACTCTGGACCTTTGTTTTTTTGCAAAAACCTCGCCGGGACCCCCCGCTACGCTCCGGCACCCCGCCGCCCGAACAGGCCAAAATCGTTGATTCCCATTGATTTGTTCAATGTTTTTCGCTTTCCAGCCTTCCGACGCTCCACGACCGCCCAAGAAGCCCCGAAGACCGCTCCCCAAGCCTCTCGAGCTCTGTTTCGGAGCCCCCCGACTCTGCAAAAACCTCGCCGGGGCCCCCCGCCGCGCCCCGGCACCCCGCCGCCACAACAAGCCAAAATCGTCGATCCCCGAGTTTTAATAATATAATATATATATTATATATGCATATATTATATCTATTATATAACAATGTTATTTCGCTTTCTCCCGCTCGCAAAACCTACCGCGACCGCGCCAAACCCCCCAAAACCCAGTAAAAAAAACAGAAGATTCGACCGCTTTCCAAGCCTCTGGAGCTCTGTTTTTGGGTTCCCCGACTCTGCAAAAACCTCGCCGGGGCCCTCCACCGCGCCCTGGCACCCCGCCGCCCCAACGCGCCAAAATCGTTGATTCCCATTGTTTTTTTTAATGTTTTT